TCCTTCTCTTCCAATCTCAATGTTCACATCACTCATTGTTGAACACATGGGATCACTTTCACTGCTTCTTAAATTTTGATTCCTTAAGGACTCATTTTGAAATGATATTATAAGAAATTTTGATGTATTGCAATTCTCTTACATATTTAATAAATAATTAGGTTGTGGGCTTTGTAAAAAAAATATATATATAGGCTATGGAATGAATATTATTAATGATTAATTGAACATATTAATGAAATTATATAAATTAGGAAAATGAATATTAGGGCAGTCTTTCTGAGGAGTGATTATTAGGTGTATGAATAGAAGTTAACATAAAAAAAAAAACTTAATACTAAATAATGAATGAAATGACATGAAATATTACAATTTATCTCCTCAGAAATTTGTATGAGATAGAATGAAAGACAAATTTCGAACGAATATGAAATGGATTTCATGAATCATTTAGTATGAATCATATTTAAAGCTAATTATGGGTCACATTAAATGATTGATATTATTGGATGATGATGATGATTAGAAACTTCTTAATCTAAATTTACATAAACACAGGAACAAAACATAAATGGGGAAATGATTGAGGGTTAAGATAGTTCATGACCTGACACAGGGGAATAGCAATAGAAGCAATGTTAAGGATATGTTCTCACAATTTTCACTTGGGAAATGGGGAAAAGGGTACACGCACTCGCGATTAAGGTTCATGACGATCTCCTCTAATATAATTTGTGACACTCGATGATCATGGATTGAATAGAGGATTTTATTTACACAATATTTTGAGAGTTTATGTTGCTGACATCTTCTTCACCATCAACTATCTCCTCCTCTATGCTCGTTTTAAAACAGATATGTGATGTGGTCCAAATAAGATATCTTCATTCTTCAGAGAAAATGTTTTTGCATTTTATTTAATAGTTGACTTATTGATGTGTTTGGTGATATGTATTAATCTCCTCAAATGTCAATGTGCATGCTGTCCTTTAGTGGATTACTTTGTTGATCACTGAAGTTGAGTGTTGTGCTATCATACTCATATATGTTATATTATTATGGTACTTATCGTACATCATACTATCAAAATTATCATTTATATTATTATTTTGCCTATGGCTATTGTTATTAACTACTATTTGACATATTTGTCCTTCATGATGACACAAATTAAACTTCACTGTAACATTATTATTGTTGATTTGCATATTGATTTCATTCGTATTAAAATTCAAATCCATTTTAAGGGCAGATAGTACATAGACTCCAAGGATGACTGGCTTTATTAAGTTTGAAACTATTAAATATCTTATTATTCATCTTCTAAGAGAAAGTTTTTTTTATCACATAAGTATTTCAACACTGTACTTAATGAAGGATCAGTTGGCAACATAACTCTTTCTCGGCCGTAGTCTACAGCGACGAGTGGTTTTTCCGACCTCTGTGGAGATTGTGGAAAACGGGAACTTGAATGATGGCTGTTTAATTGAGGATCCATGAATGGATGGAGTAATCGGGGATTAGGCAAGTTGGGATTTTGCCTAAACATCGCACATAGTTGGTTTTGTTCCTTAGTAGGATGATTCCGATTATAATTGTAGTTTTGGCCATAGTTCCGGTCCGGGTAGTGGTCACGCTGGTACGGTTTGTTGTCTCGGTGCACCCGTTGGTACTGTTGGGACTCATTACCATTGTTTCTGTTGTATCGGTAATTTTGTTGATTCCAATGATGTTGGTTGTTCTGTGCATGGTTATCGCTGTGTTGGTAGTTCTGGCGGTTCATCTTAGGAACGTAAGCTTGTTGGTTAGTAGATCGATCATGGTAACGTTGCGGGTTCTGTATGTTAGGGCTAGACGGTCTGCTGTTCTGATGACTGTTGTTGCAGCTCTTAACTTTCTTCGGTCCGTCTCGAATGTCATCCTTCTGTAGAAGTCGTTCCATGGCTCTTATTGTGGTGATATTTTGCACATTAACACTGTCCTGGATGATTGGATCGAATCGCTCTGCCAATAATGATACGATCTTCTCTTCACTTAAACTAGGGGAGATGGATTGCAATAAAAGTACACGTTCGGTTAAATATTCCGTACGGCTCAAGGTTCCATTAGCTCGATATTTTTCAGACTCAATCTTGGCTTTTATTCCTCTTTGGACGGCTTGACTCCAATATTTGCACTCAAATTCCTTAACAAAATGGTCCCAATCAAGAATGTCTGATCTGATTAGTTGCAACCATCGGGATGCGGGTCCTTCAAATGATGTTTCAATAGGTCTTTAAGGTATTCAGTTTGATTGCAGTTCATATTCCTTTCGATCCCTCTCTCGTAATATCGCTTAAGTTTGCGCAGATATTCCATTGGGTTACCGCTTCGTTCATTAAATTTCGGCTATTGACGATCATTGTTCTCATTACCGCTACAGATTACTTGAATCGCACCTGCTTCTCCATTTATTAGGTTAGCTTGCTTTATAAGTTGTTTACTTCAGACTCACATTTGATTAAATTTTGGTTGAGAGTTTGAATTTCGAGCTGTTGTGTTTCAATTAATCTAGTTTGTAGGGTGATTTTAGGCAATACTTCATTTTGTAGGGCAGTTAAATTTATTTTTGAGTTACGTTCATTGTCAAGTTGTGTTTTAACTGTGATTTCTTCTATTTTCTGATCAAAATTAGATTTAGTTCTTCTAACTGTGATTTTACGGTAGAGATTATTTGTTCTTGGAATTTGTTCTGCTCTATTTCTGAATTAGATTGTTGTTTTGATATGCTATTAACAACAAATTGCTTCAACTGATTTTGAGAGTCTTCAATTTTTAACATTAGCCATCATTTAGTTTAGCTGTTTCTTCAGTTATATAATTCAGTTATTTATTTCTGACTTTATTTCAATTTGACTTTCAAAGATTCTGATTTATGTGCTGTAAAGCCCCCCATACACGGGCGAGCATGTTGGCGAACATGCTCGGCGTTGTCAACAGACGGACGAGCATGCTCGCGAACATGCTTGGCGTTTTCAAGAGACGGACGAGCATGCTCGCGAACATGTTCGCGAACATGCTCGTCACTTGGTAGCGGTTCCTAGGCCTATTCTTGCTTTTCTTGTGCTCTGTAACAGTCAAGTTGTGTATTTAGCCTACTCCTGCTTTTTTGCTGCAGTGCAATTACAGCATTTAGTTTTTTTTTGCAGCATACGCATTATTTATTAGACACAAATCAGGGGCGATTTATTTTTGGCCGACTTTGTAATCGGCCGATCTAAAAATCGACCGTGTGTGCCAGGCCTTAAGTTATCGGATTAAATTAATTCAATATGGTTTTTTTTAAATAATGTTGGTTAAAATTCCATCGTTGTGCAATAACATTTCTCGTAGTTTTATTCTAGCCTTTTTTAGAATTATTTAATTGTGACAAATTACTACAGAATTGATTGTACACATTTCTGTAATAATTTATAAAAATTGTTAAATCTCCTCTATATAGACTTAATAAAAAAGTTAGTTTTAAAATTGACGGGTTTTAATTTGTATTCATTACCATGATTTAAAATGGCTTATAAATATTACCGACAGTTTTCTACGTTGTTCGTGATATTATTTTAACACAGGCTTACAACTCATGGCAGAGCAGAAAGCTAACCCTTGCTAGCGGGAAGCGTGAAGAGAGGGACATATCAATGATAGGACGCAGTTTGTATCAAGGATTAGTGGATCGACGAAAATTGTTTACTGGCCGCGAGGTGCTGCTTGGAAACAGATTGTTTTGGTAGTAAAGTAGGCTACAAATTAGGAAGTCTTCGAATTTGTATGAAACAGTTGAGAACATAGCGGTGCCCGTCCTTATCATTCATCAACGGGCAGGGCTGCGCGGATACTTTAAAAAGCCTGCACGTGCTGTCTTTGCCGACGCCCACACTAAATCAGTTTTTTTTAGATGACTAACCAAATATATGTATATTTATAAACCTTAAGAAACATACTAAAATTTCTGTTTGAAACATTTTGCGTATTTTATTTGGAAAAATAAATAGAGGGTAAAACAAAATTGTGTACTCTAAAACATAAACATTATCAAAAAAAGTTAAAATGCTTTATCTCTTTGGATATAGTTTTATAAGAAAATCTTTAGTACAAAAGTTGTAGATAAACTTAATTATAAATAATACAAATCAAATTTCACTACGATGGCATGCGTAGAGTTTGAATTATATCCAGTAAAGTGAAAGACTGTAATTTCCATTTTTGGAGCGGTTGGGGGGGGAAAGCTCAAGGGGGATAATCGGGAACTTTTTGTAAATACACGTCTTAAGTGGTTTCATCACATATAACAAACTCAGCTTTCCACTATTTAGCTATGAAAAAAGGCAGTTTGTGCGTTTATTGGCTGGGATAGATGCGATGACGCAACGCAGAGGTGTTCAACTAGCCCGCACGCGCTCTCTTTGCCGACGCCCAGCTCTTCACCCGGTCACCTTGATGACTAACCAATAATATATTTGTAAACCTTGAAAAACGTACTAAAACTTTAGTTCGTACCATATTTGCGTATTATTTCTATTTAAAAGTATACATAGAGAAAAACAAAATTTTGCACTCTAAAACAAAGCTTTTAACGAAGTTTAAATTTTATATCTCCCTAAGTATTGGTTTTATGAAAATATTATAAATACAAAAGTTGTAGGAAAACTAATCAAAAATAAAACAAAACAAATTTCAGATCGATAGCTTACATAGGTAGCATTCAAGTTAATAGGTTTGGAGGGGGGTGGGGGGGAAAGCTCAAGGGCTAGAAGTGGGGACTTTTGGGAAAATACACCTCTCATGTGGTTCTATCACATATAACAAATCCAGCTTTCCACCATTTAGTTGCGATAAAAAACATTTATTGACTGGGCTACAATCAATTTTGGACTAAATGAAATACTCCCCTTAAAGCATACTAAGTTATTTTGTACCCTCAAACGTGCTTCTCTTTAATTTTACTGTTTAGGTACGTTACTTACACTTTTTGTAGGAACCGGAACTTCATTTACAGCCTTTCTCTCAGATTTTACAGCTGTTCTCTCAGCTTTTACAGCTGTTCTCTCAGCTTTTACAGCTGTTCTCTCAGATTTTAAAGCTGTTCTCTCGGCTTTTACAACTGTTCTCTCAGCTTCTACCACAGTCACCAGATCGGCAATGAATTCTTTTTTCATGATTCTGCTGGAAAGAAACCCACTAAGAAAATGTTATTTGAAACTAACTTAGGTACCACTTTATACTTAACTTATATGATAAATTATTCTCTAACGTGTTGAACACAAATTTGCTAGACATGTCATGCGCGCATAAACCTCCGCCTCTGTAAAATACTAAGAACACAGAGGATACGCGTCCGGTAACCGGACGTGGGTAAGACATCCGGCATTTACGTCACCAGGTTATGGGGGCCCGGAATGCCATTACCACAACCACACTATGTACCGCCACCGGTGTTCGTTGTGTAGTGGATAGAGTGCTCGGCTGATATGCAAGAGGTTCCCGGTTTGAATCTCATCGGTAACTTTATTTTTTTGTCAAACATTGTCATTGAATGCCATTTCATCCTAACTGTATATCTTTTTAGAATATTTGGCATTTAAAACTTATAATTTTATTTTATGAACGGAATTTAACTTCATTAGATTTTTCCATTACCAGCAAATTTGGTTGGTTAGGTTAGATTATGGCAGTAACTGCCGGACGCCTAATCCACGTCCGGTTACCGAACGCGTATCCTCTGCGTACTAAGAAACCAAATAGCCTAACTTAGGCTAGGGCCTAAATGTAATTTAGACTAGGCCTAGGCCTACTTACGATCTATGAGAGACTGTAAGTTACTAGGCCTAACTTTGATGAAAAACCGGTCCACTAAACAAACAGGTTGAAATTTGATCTTACCTAAGTTAGGCCTAATTTAGTCTAACTCTGTGTTATATCAACAAATCTTTTCATTACGGATCTTGTCATATTATTTTAGCCTATATGTAACAATCACACCTAGTAACAGAAACAACGCATTTACAAATTAATAATTTTCAAAGTCACTAACACAGTTTTCGTTCAATTTTGTTCAGTTCATTCATTGTTATGTTGTATTTTCATTTTCATGAATTAAGTTAAGGTTATGTTGTTGTTGTCGTCCTTTTCCTATTCCTTGTCCTGGGGTCTGACTTAGGGGAGGTACAAATGAGGCATTTAGTTCAAAATTCCTCCGTGAACAGCGCTGTAGTAGAGAACACTTTGGCAATGAAGGTTTACTAATCACAAAAATAGTTCTGTTCATAAAATAAAATTATAAATGCCTCAAATTCAATTTTACTATTTTCAATTATAAAATTAAACTATCATAACCTAACCGAACTAACCAAACTTGCTGATAAAGAAATAATATAACAAAAGTTTAGTAATCTGAAAAATAATTCTGTTTATTAAATAAAACTATAAATTGCTCAATTAAAATTTTATAATGACTTAATAATAAAATTAAACTGTAATAACCAAACCAAACCAACCAAACTTGCTGATAATAAAAAAATCTTAATGACAAAAAGTTAATGATACCAGCGGGATTCGAACCCGGGACCTTTAGTATATCAGCCCGGCACGCTAACCAATAGACCACCGAGGCCGATGGCTGTTGAACGTTTTGTTACGGTAATATGGCGTTCCCTCAGCTAATAAGAAGCCCTCAGCTGTCATCGTAGCCTCTTCTATACCTCCCCTGAGTAAATACCCTTGTCCTGATGTTTTTTTTTTTTTCACTGAGCTAATTTGCTACAGTATTTTGCAGACTTTGGAAAGACAATGCAGCTGCATGCTGCATAGAAACATGAAAGGTTACTTACATGTCATAGATTAAACTCTACAAGTAGGGTAGATTCGTAATGTTTATGGATCAGCTGAACTGAAGATAATGTTAATGACATCAGTGTTTTAACTTTTAAGGACAGCTTTGTCGCCACTTTCGAGGCAGATTTTTCGTTTCGTATAGCCAAGCCTACCAAGCAACTTACCTGTGTGCAAGTTATATACGATACGAGCGTTTTGTCTGTTACGTCAGACCCTCTAAAATCAGTGTCAGAGTAAACAACGCGTCCAAACCGGTAAACTGGCAGCAAAACGGGACATAACGCCAGTGACGCAGTTGCTGTTATTCGGACAGCTTTGACACCGCATCATTTACCTCATGCCCACCACACACCCCTTGCGCATTCGTATCTGTTGCATCGTTTATACTGCTCGTAGCCTAGGCTGTATACCAACTTTACCACTGAGTTTATGCGTCAGCGTCAATGACAATGACTAGGTGTTTTTTTCGGATGATCAGCATCCAGCGACTTTAGTGCAAACTGTGGTAACGGCAATATGGACAATATTATAGGATGCGGATCGCCCGAGTAATATTAGGCAAATGAAAATTCACTTATTCTACAGGTTTGCTGCGGTGGGGGTATTTTAACTATGGGGTTTGAAACAAACTATTACTAATAAAAAAATAACTTTGTAGTTGTTGAAGAGTTACCGCGGTCCTTTCCTTGACCACCCTAGATTTTTTTGGATGAGGTTAAAATGCGTTTACACGCTCTGAGATGCTCAATATCCTCTCGGTAGTGCCGGACTTCTGCGGGAACAAAGACCCTCAAAACCATCAACTACAAAAACCTCATCTCCTAGGACACTAGCCTGGCAGATTTCGATTACATTGACCATATCAACGTTAGTAGGTAATTCCATAGACTTATCAACACAAGAGGGAGTTGGCCTGGGTTTTATCCATGGTAAAACATAGCAATCACATTTTCAAACGCACTAAAATAATAAATAAACAACAAAAATTACCAATTTTTAGGTGTACGGTATTTGCCCAAATTCAATTAGAAAAAGACGTTGTATATCAAAATATAATTTATTGAAAAACAGATAACAAAACATTTGTTGTAAAACTTTCTAAAACCATAAAAATGTAAACGTAAGAAAAATTATACAAAATAAAATATATAGACGTATATAAAATGTGAGTAGTCAGGTGATGATGATGTTGTAGATGTCCTGGGCCACTAAGCATAATGTTAATGTGGATGTCTGGGGATCTTCATACTTCTGCGGTCGTGCCTGTTGTCGTTAATGGTGTTGCGGTTATGCATTACTCTCTTGTATTCAGGGAAAGCTTTTTTGTGAAGTCTAGGTTGTTCTTTGTGCCACTGACTCTCGGACATTCGGCGGGCAAAGTTTTTGTCTTTGGCGGGTAAGTGTGGCACACCGACAGCACCTGGTAGAGCCTAAGGGAAAAAATAAAAGGCTGATGAGTAAAATTGTCAGCTGTTTTTTTAACACATTAAAATTATAAGTTAAGCCATTATGACTTTTGGATACAGAAGGTTGAGCATACATTGTATTGAATTTCACCATTGTGAGAACTCTCCTTATTTGCCGAAGACCTAATAAGGTTATCATATCTGTTGGAAAAGCTCATCCTATGTAAATGTATCTGCTTTAGATTTAGAAACAAAAGTCGTAAACACTTCAGTCCACATTTTACAATAAATAAGTAATTTAAGTGAATTGTTTAAGTTCAACAATAACATATTTGCAGTAGAATAAGGAGTTCAAAGTCGATGATTCAGATTTAAAATAAGAAGTCTCATTTTCATTTAATTTTGTATGTTTACACGCCACTAGCATTAAAAATGTCTAGGGACTTGCAGTATTCTATGGCAATGATTCTCATTTTGGATTTTGCGATAAGCTAATACTTGAAATATTCAAAGTCAACATTAGTTCCACTAACAGTTTCAATGTGAATGAATGAGCTACTATTTAAGTTGTAGATATTATAGCATATGTTTTTAGACTCACCTCTCCAGGCAAAACCTTTCCTGTGTCATCGTCCACGACTCTCTTCAGAACATGGTCCTGGACAAGCTGCACAAGCTCTGCCTTCTGGAATCAAGACAACAATGGAACAATGATGCTTAAAAGGCTTGCATTCATTAATGCAAAGATCGTCTTCATCATAAAGTTCTTGTAAACTACACAACCCATTGACTCCGAGTACCTATGTAGTTTACAAACTGTTCAGAGAAAAACCGGAAATAAAGGTGAAACAAAGCATGTTAATGTGAAAAATAGCAAGCAACTTACCAGCCTTTTTATGTTGTGTTTAAATTTATTGATACAATAAAAAATAAAGATCAATTATTCTATCGTAGACAGTATTGTGAAAATCTAAACGATTTTCATGATCTTGAGTTATTAAAAAAACTACATACTGCCAACAAATTAACATATAGGGCCTGTCGAATTTGTTGAAATAAGAATAACTTGATGTAAGGAAGCATTTAGTGATATATTTAATAAGTTTTCTTTCCAAGGGCCTAAAATTAATAGTATATTTCATGACTAGGGCCCAAAGTAACTCTTTTTGCCCGTGTGGTGAACTATATTTTTTACAATCGAAATTTACAACTAAGTTGATAACAGCTGATTTTTACCCTTACATGGCAACAAACCTCATGACTAGACAAATTTTCTTTTGCCTGGTTGTATAGTACTTTCACTTAAATATCTAGGCTAAAGAAAATTCACTTTCCTCCCCTATTTAAATAACATTAGTTTAACGAGTACTTTGGTTTTCTGCCACAAGTAAGGCAATATATTGCTTTTTAGTAAAATGATAATAGTTTAGTAAGAAATAAATACATTTTATAGATTTAATCAAAATATTATCTTAAATAAGCAAACTACAACAGTTTACTAAATCTCCATAAGAATGACACACGAATCCCCATAAGCTCCCGTTCCCATAGTCTGTTCATGGTGGTTCGTGAACTCGTTTGAGTAAAACTCAGTTTGTTTACACGTTTGTAGCAAATTTCATCAAAACCGCATGGTTTGTTATTTGTACAATATTCAAGGAACAATCTTAATTAAAAAGTTATGTATATTTTCATCCCAAACAATTATTATTGTGCCCTTTATATTATAGGTAATTTTTATTACAACTAGTTTTACTTGACATATTAGTGCAATTGATCATACCTCTCCTTTGCTATTTTCTTCCACACTGTCTACTTCTTGGCTGACTATCTTCTTCCCTATTCCTGCCTCCTGAAAATATTTGGTTTTTTTAATTTCATACCTTGGTAAAAATTATAACGGGGATATAATATGCTGCTTAGTTAAGACTAGAGCACGCCCATTGGTCGAAAAATCGACCATAAGTATGTATTGTGTAAACTTCTCAATTTTCACCCCACACTGTAAATAAAAAATATGATTGGAATGTATTCCATTTGTTTAGATTTTCTGTTGATATTTTGTTGTTATTTTGTCATCACCATGGCAACCCATAAGACCCATGTTAATTATTTCAAAATTTCAAATTAATTTTTCGTGCTTATTTGTGAGCCTATTTTAATTTATAAAGGGACTCTACACATCTAAAGGTAAATATCTTTCATTTTGTACCAACCGCGTGTAATTCGGCCCAGTAGTATGGTCAGGCTAGCTGTCATAAGTTTTGCAAATGTTTTTTAGTATATAAGGTGACATATTTTTAGGTAATCCATTTCGTAAATTGATCAATACAGCAAACTTAATATAAGTGGTTCTTTAAGGAGCCTCTGTAATTCAAACGTAAAGAAAGTAAGATTTAGTAACATTCATCATTAAATACGGTATAGTTAACAAATAATTTTAACTGCCAAGGCTTCAATCGTGTAAAAATACAAAAGCACATATAAACTGTTAACTTATGTGTAAACAGCTAGCCTATAAAGAATCAGAATACAGTAATTCTACCACTTACCTGTTTTGGTAGACAAACCACACATGAAAATAGAAATGAAGACAGAAGAACAACGTGGCACAACATTGTTGAACTTGACTATGTGTCTTGAAGGCGCAAACTGAATTGGAAAATGAAGACTCCTTTATATAAACAAAAACGTAGACATAAATTCACAAAAGTCATGACATTGAAATGTTGTTGATAACATCTTTATTATACGCAAGTCGGAAACAGTAGAAACTTCTAGTCATCATTCTACAGTAAAGATTTGAGATAAGATCGAGATCGGATCAGTTACAATCTAATGGGTGCCGATGTTAAGAATTTAAATAATGCGCATTAGAATGTTCTAGAACGTTCAGTATGTAATGTTATGTAATGTTTTCTGACAAATATTGCATAATATGATGTAACATGTGGAAAATCATCTTGTAAACAAATAGCACGTGACCACGCATTTCTTTCATCCGCTTATAGGTATTTTAAATCCGATAATTTTATATTAAAACAGCAATTGTGTCGATCTAAAAAGCCTTGAAATAAGATTGGTGGCCGATTCACTCACACTGGTTTTGAGTAGAGTGGCTAGCTTACATACCATCCCCATTGCATACTTTCACTTACCGTACCTTATCCTACCTACGTAGCCACTAAAACCTTAAGACGATTCTGGCCTTCAATTTTTTCCATCCCCTGCCTCTTGTTTGCATAAAGCCAACACACATTACGCCTTTTCATATAGTATTACATAATGTAGAGAACAAATAATATTTGAAAAACCCGGCTTTGCCCGGGTAAAATTATACAATGTATAACAAGTGGTTATAGAATTAATTTTGTTTCTGTTTTGATAGATGTACTCATATCTTAGTCATATTAAATCTAGAAATAAATTAAATATTCTTTGTAGCACACGTTTCCTTAAATTGCAACTAAAATATTAACAGCAAACATTTAATTATCCAGATAATCATAATGTAAACAAATATGTTCTGCATATGGATAACATGGGATCTTTAAAAGTCATTGGGGCAGAGCCTAAGAGGGACCTTTAAAACAATGTAAGGTCAGTTTGCAAATCTACACACCTAGACGAACATTTTGGTATTATATAATATGTTGGGTTATACCTTAAAACAAAAAAGCCTTATTGCTCACAAAGTTTCATGTAGCGTATTAATAATATAGATTCTACTGTCCCTCTAAATAACTATATATACAAAACTACGTTTACGGGTTTAGTGGTTGTTGTGCCCACCCTATAATCAGCAGATTAGCTGTTTTATCCTGAGAAAAATAAATTTTTAATGATTCAAAACTGTACACAACTGAGTTAATAATTAGAAATTTGATAAATGACTCTGGTTAAAAAACCATGCTGGTCTAACCAATAACAAATTTACACAGGGTATTTCACTCAATGCACTTATCGTTCTTTCATTTTTAGTTTTAAACCTAGATGTTTATCTTTGTGACAAATGTAACGAGAAATGAACGATGATAAATAATATCATTATGAGAATAAAAAAGGTTATTCAGTATGTAGAGATCAAAACCTCAACATTATTTCTCAAGGAATAACCATAGTTTTAGAACGTGTAAAATGTAGTTGAAATTTCATTTTATCATATGGCTTTTATTGTAAAAGGGAGACAGACATTCGTTACAGACGCAGCACAAAAACACAGAAGCTAAGCTGTTAAAATGATTTGTAGATGAATATTTTAAGCTGGCTCTTTATAAATTCACGTTGGAAGATAGAATTAGGCTGAAACTTAATGATAATCCCATTTTAATATAAAATCATAATTTTCGTCTTTATATTATATGGACAAAACTTAGGCAATGGGTTGGTAGAAAACCCTACCCTCAATTAAATCAGCCGATAATCTTTGATGACTAGTATTCTCATTGGCTTAAAATAGAGCGAGTAGACACTTCAACGATTCATTTTGATGAATATTCATCAAGATGTCGATCTGGCCTTAGTAAAGTTGTTATAGATTATAAGTTATATAATAAATAAATATCTCTGAAGAAACACCTCATAAAATAGGAACATGTGTATTATGAACATTAAATGTGTTTGATCCTGTAAGGTAATTTAAATTTTTTAACAAGTTCATAAGCAAGGTTACAGATAAATAATTTTAAACAAACAAAACGTCTTGTTACATCACATATAAACCCATTAAACAATATTAAGCTACTTTCTAATATAAAAAAATGCCTGCTATATCTTTATATTAATTGTTTTGACAAACCATATGTTTTATGACTACAATGAAAAGGTAATAAACGATTCACTTTCCCTCCAAAAATGTCACATTCAAGCAAAGGTGTGAAGTTGTCAGCAAATCTCATGGACCATTTACCTTCACCAATGGACTTCCGCTTCAAAGACGCACAAGTTGAAAACCTTAAGTGGTTTGGAAATGTGGTTGTATGGATTTATCCAAATCTTGCACCACATTTGATCATGCATAAAAACTATCAAATTATTCAAAATATATTAATGTTATATATTTTTAACGTTAGTTTATTATTTTGTCATCAAGAATTTCAATTGTTAGCTTTATTGTATTTGTCTAAGAGGTTGCTTCCCAAGATGTATGGAGTGTTGCTTCCCACTTTTAATATTAATTTGCCCGTCAAGCGATCTTCAATAATGTGTGTTGAACGTCGAGAATACCAAGTAAAAAATGAAGTAAGAAAGAGGTGTAGACTAAGAAGTTAATTGGGAACAAGGAGCGGGTCTGTGACATCGCGGCATTAGGTTCAATGCTCGTTACACTACAACTAACTAAGCCACTAACTGATCGTATTTTATCAGAAAATGTAAATTAAGGTAAGATCGCAGTAGGCTTCATGTTTCTTATTAACATAAACAAATTCTTACTATATTTTGTTTACCTTTAGATGGCAGTTTATCAAACATTTGGCCCGGGCAGACGGTTTGTCATTCTAGGTCATGTTTATTTATTTAAATGTTTAATGTCTTACCGGCATCCCCTCGAAACCGGTAGCTGCTCACTACAACGGTCATACGATGAATCAACGTATTAGGTAAATTTATACCATTTTAGTGTTCAAGAAATGATCCTGGGCCGAAGAACATCAATATGAAAAACAGTTCTTCATTAACAAGCAAACTACAACAGTTTACCTATTTCCATAAGAATACCATTATAGTTTTAAATATTAAAGTTTTTTATAAAATTTCACTTTACCCATTAAGCACATAACAACGCTTAAACATACTAAGCTTTCACCCCATAAGCCTCCGTTCTAGCTTATCTATTATGCTTGATCGGGAAACTCGTTCAAATAAACGTAGGTTTGCATTATTGTTAAAAACAAACGTTAGGTTTGATTGATACAATTGATGAAATTTCATTTAGTTGAATTTGAACGGATGGTGTTTTTTGCCTCTATGTACATCAAAACGATAAAGTAAATCGGCCCTCGGTCAATTACCATGAAACCTATGGTAATTTCTGATTCCCCTTATAGGAAATTCGCTAAAAACTAAATCAAAAATACTATCTCGACTGAAATATCACTCATACATTTCCATAAATAAATCCGTAGAAACATTTTTGTAACGATCCAATGAACACACTGCAAGCAACAATGTAAACAGTTTCCAAAACATTTAGTCCCCAATGTTACACCAGTTAATGTCCGCCATTTGTAAATGTTTAACGCGTACTTCAACATTAAACACAAACGTTGTTGCACATTTGTTTTGTGAGTTAACAATAGGTCCTGATTTAAACACCTTTGATAGAAATCTTTTCATCATTCGGTTATTTGAGGTTAACATTAACGTCCAATCACATTATATTTTATGTTAAGAACAATAAAATAGTGCAGTAAATTGCAGGTTCATTGTATTGTAAAGCAAATTGATTTTGATGTTTGTTTTACCAAGTCATTATTATTTTTTATGTGCATTAAGTGAAGCGCGAAGAACTTTATTTTTTATTTTTCAGCCAAAAAAGGACTCTACCACGCACAGGTCACTGTGAAAAATGTGATAGGGATAAGTAATCCGAATCACTAACAGTTATCGGAATAAAATTTGTTTAGGTAATTTTAAGTTTATCTAAGGTATTACTTTTTATTTGCCTAATGAGAGTTCCATAACAAACTTTCCCGTCTTACGGTAAGATAATCCAGGACACTGTTCGAATTTATTCGGGGAAGTTTCTAACACAAGCTAGAGCTAACGCTGACTCGGTAATCATTTAAGTAATCAAACTTTGATTTTGAACAACACTAAAAACCAATTCAAATCCCCTACATATTGTTTTCATATAATTAAGTTCTTTTATTAATTTGTTTGACGTTGATGTTTTACTAAGTTTAAATTTAATTTTTTAAAATTTACTAAGTTTTACTAAGCAGGAGGAAAATACATGTTTTACTCACCACTAATGAAAATATATGCAATCTATATCTATAAAAGAGGAACTATGTATGTGTGTGTGTATGTATATACGTTATGGACTCCGAAACCGCTCGACAGATTGTAATGAAACTTTCAGGCATTATTAAGCATCTTTCATGGATGGTTCGAGTGAAGTTTGGTGCAGATTTATCAAAAGGGCTCTGCCCCAGAGGGTTTTAAGTGGGCCAATGTCAGACTTTTTGATCTACAATGTTTACAAATAAATATAATTTAAAAGCAGATGTTTACTTTTACCAACTGTTTTGTAGGTTTGAATAATTACAACATTCTGTATTAGCATTAGTCATGATTTGAAATAGTGCCACAGTGTTTCTACTGAGTGCAGCACAGAAAACTATTTTACTTTTAAATAAGTCCAAATGTATTAAACCCCAATGCACACCTGTGCACTTAACAACGTTTAAATTCTCCAATGTTAAATATTAAAACATAAAAACCTTTATCAAAGTATTATAAACAATAAAAGGGATGACTTTTGAAAATTCATGACAACAGCTAATTTGCAATCAAAAGGTGAGTGAGCGTAGCGAACGAACATCAACCTGGAGGCGAGTTAGCGTAGCGAACGAGCTAACCTGAAAACAAGTGAGCGCAGCGAACGAGCTCCAACCTAAAGGTGAGTGAGCGTAGCGAACGAACTTCAACCGGGACGTGATTGAGCCATGCGAATACTTATGTAGTTAAA